ACTTAACAACTCAACTGTACAGTTCATCTAATAGTAGAAGTTTACAAACGGTGTACTGAGAACTTGATTTAAAAAAAAAAATTGTATTGATTTTTTCCTGTCATTGTTCCAGGAGCATTTACCTCCAGATGTAGGCCTTGGCCATGATACTCTCAAGTTTATCGCTGAAATCAAAGAAGGACTCAATCTAGAACACACAAGAAAGCAAACAAGGACCGGATATATGAAGCCTTTTGAAACTAAAATATTTGTATTTACATTTACATTGTTTCTTCATTTACATCATTAGTAAAAAGGATCAGTCGGCTGCCTACCCTGATGAAGCGGTTGACTCTGTATATGGTGGAGAATTCAAAGTGCAGGCAGAGAAGGTCAAAGGGGAGGATGCTGAAGATATCAATCTAAAAAGAGAAGAATAAAAAAAAAAATCTAAAACTTGGATTTGTTTCACAACAGGTTCGTTAAATTTTATGATTTGATCCCCATAACTCCCACAAAAGATTAACTTTGGCGGGACACACATTGGTGGAGGAAGTAAGAAGATCATTTACTTAAGTAAAAGAAGTGGTAACACATTGTGAAGATACCAGTAAAGGTCCTTCATTTAAAATTTGACTCAAGTAAAATGATCTGCTAAATCTACTTCAAGCATTAAAGTAAAGTAAATGACTGATATATTATTATTGATGACATTATTAGATTGTTAATACTGATGCACTATAATGGTATTTAACCCTCGCAGCTGGTTGAGGTAGAGCTAATTTTAATCACTTCATATACAGTTGGATAGTTTAGTCAAGTGGTTTTCAAGCTCGTAGGCGAGCGTCTGGTGGCCGGGCCTTTGCCCATGGGGCCCGGTCGGGCTCAGCCCGAATAAACACCATGGAGCAGCCACCCTGTGGACCCACCACCCGCAGGGACAAGCATCGGGGTCGGGTGCTATGCAGACCGGGCGGTGGGTCGGGCGGGAGGCCCGGGCATGCCGATAGCCGGTGGCATAGACTAGCTCTAGGGACGTGGAACATCACCTCGCTAGCGGGGAAAGAGCCGGAGCTGGTGCAGGAGGTGGAGCGATACCAGCTAGAAATAGTTGGACTCACCTCCACACACAGCGTTGGCTCTGGAACCAAGCTCCTGGAGAGGGGTTGGACTTTGTCCTTTTCCGGAGTTGCCCAGGGTGAGAGGCGCCGGGCGGGAGTGGGGATACTCACGAGCCCCCGGCTGAGCACCGCTGTGTTGGAGTTCTCCCCGGAGAGCGAGAGTGTCGCCTCCATGCGCCTACGGGTTGCGGGGAGCAAGGCTCTGACTGTGGTTTGTGCTTATGCACCAAATAGCAGTTCGGAGTATCCGGCCTTCTTAGAGTCGGTGGGAGGGGTCCTGGAAAGGGCGCCGCCTACCGACTCCATAGTTCTCCTGGGGGACTTCAACGCTCACGTGGGCAATGACGGAGAAACCTGGCGGGTGGTGATTGTGAGGAACGGCTTGCCCGATCTGAACCCGAATGGTGTTTCGTTATTGGACTTCTGTGCTTGCCACGGTTTGGCCATAACGAACACTATGTTCGAACATAAGGTGGCTCATAAGTGTACCTGGTACCAGAACACCTTAGGCCGGAGATCAATGATCGACTTTGTAATCGTATCATTTGATCTGCGGCCGTATGTCTTGGACACTCGGGTGAAGAGAGGAGCAGAGCTGTCAACTGATCACCATCTGGTGGTGAGTTGGATCAGATGGCAGGGGAACCGGTTGGAAAGACCCGGCAAACCCAAACGTGTAGTGAGGGTGAACTGGGAACGTCTGGCGGAGGACCCTGTCCGGGAGGTCTTTAACTCCCACCTCCGGAAGAACTTCTCACACATCCCGAGGGAGGTTTGGGACACGGAATCCGAATGGACCATGTTCAAAGCCTCTATTGTGGACGCGGCCGTCAGGAGCTGTGGCCGGAAGGTCATCGGTGCCTGTCGTGGCGGCAACCCGTGAACCCGGTGGTGGACACCTGAGGTGAGGGAAGCCGTCAAGCTGAAGAATGAGACCTTCAAGGCCTGGTTGGCCCAGGGGTCTCCTGAAGCAGCTGACAGGTACCGGCAGGCCAGAAGGGCTGCAGCTGCGGTGGTCGCGAATGCTAAAACTCGGGCATGGGAGGAGTTCGAGGAGGCCATGGAGAAGGACTTTCGGTTGGCCTCAAGGAGGTTCTGGCAAACCATCCGACGGCTCAGGAAGGAAAGCAGGGCTTACCCCAGGCTGTTCTCAGCAGGAGGGGGGGGGAACTGCTAACCCGGACGGAGGACATCGTCGGTCGGTGGAAAGAGCACTTTGAGGAACTCCTAAACCCGACCAACATGTCCTCTGCAGAGGAGGCAGCGCCTGAGGACCTAGGGGGAGGCTCACCCATATCCCTGGCAGAGGTCGCTGAGGTAGTTAAAAAGCTCCTTGGTGGCAAGGCGCCGGGGGTGGATGAGATCCGCCCTGAGATGCTGAAGGCGCTGGACATAGTTGGGCTGTCCTGGCTGACACGCCTCTTCAATGTCGCATGGGGGTCGGGATCAGTGCCCATGGAATGGCAGACCGGGGTGGTGGTTCCCATCTTCAAAAGGGGGACCGGAGAGTGTGCTCGACTTACCGGGGTATCACACTACTCAGCCTCCCGGGGAAGGCTTATGCCAGGGTGCTGGAAAGGAGGCTCCGACCGCTTGTCGAACCTCAGATTCAAGAGGAGCAGTGCGGATTCCGTCCCGGGCGTGGAACAGTGGACCAGCTCTTTACCCTCGCAAGACTACTGGAGGGGTTCTGGGAGTTTGCCCAACCAGTCTACATGTGCTTTGTGGACTTGGAGAAGGCTTTCAACCGGGTCCGTCTGGGGGTCTTGTGGGGGGTGCTGCGGGAGTATGGGGTGCCGGACCCGTTGCAACGGGCGATCCGGTCTCTGTACGACTGCAGTAGAAGCTGTGTCCGCATTCTCGGCAATAAGTCAGACACGTTCCCGGTGGGTGTTGGCCTCCGCCAGGGCTGCCCTTTGTCACCGGTCCTGTTCGTGATTTTCATGGACAGGATATCTAGGCGCAGCCTGGGGGCGGAGAACGTCAGTCTCGGGGGTCTCGGGATCGCCTCTCTGCTATTTGCAGATGATGTGGTCCTGTTAGCCTCCTCGGATCGTGACCTCCAGCATTCACTGGGGCGGTTTGCAGCCGAGTGTGAAGCGGCGGGGATGAGAGTTAGCACCTCCAAATCTGAGGCCATGGTTCTCTGCCGGAAACCGGTTGATTGCTCCCTCCAGGTGGGGACGGAGTGCCTACCTCAAGCGAAGGAGTTCAAGTATCTCGGGGTCTTGTTCACGAGTGAGGGTAAGATGGAGCGGGAGATCGACAGACGGATCGGTGCAGCTGCAGCAGTAAAGCAGGCGCTGCACCGGACCGTCTTGGTGAAGAGGGAGCTGAGCCGGAAGGCAAAGCTCTCAATTTACCACTCGGTCTACGTTCCTACCCTCACCTATGGTCACGAACTCTGGGTCGTGACCGAAAGGACAAGGTCGCAGCTACAAGCGGCCGAAATGAGTTTCCTCCGTAGGGTGGCCGGGCTCAGCCTTAGAGATAGGGTAAGGAGCTCGGTCATCAGGAGGGAGCTTGGAGTAGAGCTGCTACTCCTTCGCGTCGAAAGGAGTCAGCTGAGGTGGTTCGGGCATCTAATTAGGATGCCTCCTGGACGCCTCCCACTGGAGGTTTTCCAGGCACGTCCAACTGGGAAGAGACCACGGGGAAGACCCAGAACACGCTGGAGAGATTACATCTCCCAGCTGGCCTGGGAACGCCTCGGGATCCCCCAGAATGAGCTGGTAACATATTGCCGGTGAGAGGGAGGTCTGGGTCGGCCTGCTTGACCTGCTGCCACCGCGACCCGACCCCGGATAAGCGGTGGAAAATGGATGGATGGATGGATGGTTTTCAATCTAGGGGTGGGGTCCCTTCAAAGGGTTACAAGACAAATCTGAGATAATACGATAATACAGACAAAACAGAGGTCTGCTGCACACATTTGCAATAATGCTTTACTTTTTTTGAGAAATAATGACTCATTTCAGTTCTTTGAGCCATGGGCAGTTATTGAAATGAAACCATGTGAGAAGTTAAGGTGGGAACTGTCTCTTCGATGGAACTGCTATGAACTCATTGTCATCTGACACATGAACAAACACTGTTTTGTTGTAAGTGGTCACAATCCAAAAAGGTTGGCAACCAATGGTTTAATCTTTTACCTGTTGACAATCCAACAGACAAACTGTCTTTCAGAGGCTGTAGCGGGCTCAGTTTTAAAGCTAGTGTGAAGCTGCTGGTATCATATAAAACTAGACCTAGACCTAAGGGCAAGAGGTTAGCATCGTCTTATATTTCTTAATGTTATATTAGCCAGTAACTACGGCTGTCAGATAAATGAAGTGGAGACAAAATCACCCTAAAAATGAAGTAAAGTAGAAATATAATGAGAAATTTTGCTGTATTTAATTGCAGTACTTGTAAATGTACTTCGTTAGTTTCCACGACTTGATATATCATTACCATCTCACCTTAAATCGTTGTGATTTCCGATAATGTACCTTAGCCATACGTCCGTCTTGCTGCCGGGGAAAATCACACACCGTTTTACAGTTCAGGCGAGTTTAACAATATGCAAACTGTCATAGATACAGATTACACACAAGTCACTCATTGTGGCGCTCAATTTTGTTTTGTGACTTACAATAACGTCTCCGGCTTTGACAAACTGTAGTCGGGGCTGCCAAACAATGATGTCAATAACATTCACTACATCACTAAGAATGTCGAAAAATATCCAGTAGCGGTTGTTGGTTTCATTATGGAAAGGGAAAACCAACCGCGCAGTGCAAAACCAAACGTTGTAGTTGAATGCCAATGATACCAGGGACAACCAGGCAATGTACCGACGATCTGGAGAGAAACAGACATACAGATTTATTGTTTGTGTTTATGTTCATTTAATCTCAGCTGCCCTGTTCCCTGTGTGCACCATACATACCTAAAGGATCTACGGTCTGGCCCAGTGTGATATCTATCTGGTTTTCGATTGGACGGAAGAGGACGTCGAAGAAGGAGCAGCTGATGTCTGGGAGGATCTTCGCTTTCTTCTTAGCCTCCTCCGCCAGCCTCTCCTCCTCGGCTTTCTTCTCTGCCTCCAGCCTTTTCTCCTCGTCCTTTTTCTTCTTCTCCTCTGCCTTTTTGGCTGCCTCCTCTGCCTTCTTTTTGGCCGCTTCTTCTTTTGCTATTCGCTCCTCTTCCTTCAATCTGATGTAGTCCTCCTTCCTTAGAATAGGTGCTAAGCAGACAAAGAGAGTGACGGAGAGTTAAATGGCCCTTTGGCCTGTTTTCTGTCTGCATGTTGCTTTGAACATGTCCGTACTTACTGACAGGTGGGGTGATTTCTGGCGAAGTGGCATAAGGGTCTATGGCTTTCTCTCTGAGGAGCTGTGTCCGCTCTTTTGCCTTCTTTATTATACTTCTGAGCGTATCATCTATTTCACGGAAGTAGACAACAGGTGGAGGAGGAGGAAGAGGGGCCTCTTCCCTGAAAACAGGGAGCAAAGGAAAAAGAAGGGTGAATAAAAGATTACCAGAGAAAAGGTGACGCTAAATCAGAGAGGAGGGAAGTGAGGGGGCTGAATTGGAGAATCATTTTATATAGTGAAGAAGAGTATCCTCAGTTAAATGGGACAATTTTGCAAATGTGGTAGTATAGTTCATATTATTATTGTCACTATTTATCTGCTGAGATGGAAGAAAAAGCAGAGACACACAACCCTATAGCTCTATATCATAATAATCTATATAACAAACACGTTGGACTTCTGTTTTCACTCTTATTTGAACCCAAGAGAAAATATAGTATTTTATGAATATGTTCTTTAAAACCTCTCTAATCTCTATTTCAGCAATTGTTCATTTGCCAATACAAAAATAACATAAACTTATTAAATCATCTGCAAAGAACAAAATTAATTCTCTGGCTTTGAGTATTTCACTTGCATGTGAATGCTCTAAGTGATCGTTCTCAGTCACAAATACCACTAAGCCTCCTAATCGCCTTTCCTACTTTTGGAGTCACAGGAGTCACACTGTGATCATGGCCGCTGGTACTGCAGCTAACATACAGTACGTCCACTGTACGTATTGTGAGGAGAGCTGAAACAATGCAGACCTTGCAGCTACTCAGAGTATACTGTTCTATCCGTTACAGATAGTTCTGTATTCGGAGATTAAATTGAACAAGTTTAGATTTTAAATGGCAGATATTAGCAGTAACAGTTATGTCTTAAGTTTGGAAATTATGTAAATACTGAATGCTACAAAGTAAAAAAATACCAATCACACATAAAGGACCATCTGCACTAACATTTCTGGAGGTATATTTGTTCACCAGGTCGTACCACATAAAGTACCACACTGTACTTGTGTCACACTTTAGATCAGAAGCTCTCAAACATTGTCATTATACAGCTACACAGACACTTAATTTACTGTAAGTATGAGTAGGGTATAGCTAATTAAAGACAACAGAAACAATAATGTTTCAAATCATTTTTGATGATGAGATTGTGACTAAAAAGCAAATGTTATCGAAAAGTTTGTATTTCAGAAAGAAAAAGAAATCTGAATTAAGGTCCCTTTTAAAAGCTTGAAATGTCAGTAGTACTGACATGTCCATCCAAGTCCCATACACGCTTAACCTGTGCAGGGTCGCAGGGGACTTGAGCCTATCCTTACTTGCACTACATTAGATAGACACAGTATAGGATAAATTCTTACCCTTCAGCAACAGGAGCAGCAGCAGCAGCAGCTGGGGCAGGTCCTGAGGCAGGAGCTGGAAGAGAAATACAGCAGCACTCTTTAGTCAATTTCTAGCAACCATATCAAAGGGTTTTACATTTTTACATTGTTTTGGCTGACTTGGATATTCGTCTGTATTCAGCCGGAGAGAGGCCGCTCCAGGATACCGCTGATGAAGACCCTTTATCACTTTAGCTGCTGAGAGTGAACAACTTCGTGGTTCCTTTGCTGAAATTGCCCTCTGATGCCAACAGAAACAGAAACATTCTCCTGCAATGGTCTTTTAGATGGATGCTGTCGACGCCGACGACAACCCAGAGAGGGCGAGCCATGTGTGCGTAGCTATGCATGAAAGGTTTTTCTCCTCACTGGGACAGAGGTGTAATGGAGACCTTCTTCAGGATCCCAAAAACAAACAACCAAGACAACCAAGACCAGCAAGGTGATTTAAGTCATATTTTTCTAATTTAATGGTCTGCCACCAAAGAATGAGAGAGCTGCTAAGGAGACACTTCAGTGGAGCAGCTGTTCAGTTTGAATGAAGTGTTAATATTTCCTTTGACATTTTGACAGTTTATTTTGTCAATTTATCAGACTGAAAAAAAGAGAGCGGCCCAATCCCAATCGCGCTCCTGTAAAGTCTGTGAGGGTTTAGGGCTGTCCCACTGTCAAATCAGAATGTTTTGAGGACTCTCTCTCAGACATTTTGAAGGGAGCACGCCTAAAAATCCGTGAGTCCGTAAGGGGGGACATTGGGATTTGGCCTTTCTCTTTCACACTCAACCATTTATCAGGTGATGTCAGTAAATCCCTGAGAGTTCAGGCCTTACATTGGGATTGGGCCAGGTTGTGTAATGTACAAAATCACAGCTCGCACAATGCATCCTGGTACATGTAGGCAGGGCTCAGCGAACAGGAGAAATCAGCTTTCTTGGTCAACATACAGTAGCACGCACTGGGGAATTAATTTCTTCATTGCAATAGCCAGGGAGCCCTGGTAGATCATTTTGACTTGGTCATTTTAAAAGTAGCTCGCAAGGTGAAAAAGTGTGGGCACCCCTGCAATACAGTTATTGCAATTCATTTCTTCATTGCAATACATTGATTAGACATCCACAAGAGGTGGCACATTTTCCCTTTAATAATTTTAATTACTGTAATAGACCCTCTACCTTCTTGCAGATTTTAGTTCATAAAAATAAATCATTTAGAAATAAATATTTGAAGTAAACTTTGGCTCAAGAATCTGCAAAATATATGATCTCTACTAAATGGAGTATACATTCAGATTAAAAGCTAAAATAACAATTACAAAAAAGTGCAGATTAGCATGATTCTTATGATTTCTAATAAAAGTGTGCTAGAGAGCTGGGCAGAAAAAGATTTAAAGAACATTATGCAGTCTTTAGGAGGATATTTTGTCACAGTTAAGGTGAGCAAGGGAAGGACCCAAATGCAGATATGGACTGACAGACTGGTGCAGTTCAAAGATCTATTGCAAAAAAGCTTACAGGCAGTGAGTCCAAATGCAGGCAGGCAGGTAACAGCAAGCAGGAAGAAAACAGGTAAACAGCAAACAAAACTCCAGCAAAGATAATGAGCCGGCAAAGAACAACGGAACTGAGCTGGTATAAACGACTACCAAGGGAAGTGGGAACAGCTGAGCAGGAGATGAGGCGAATGCAGGACAGGATAAACTGACCAGGGCAGGGTAGACAATCAAAAGGAGGGAAAACTCACAAAAACAGGAAGTAAAACAAATCAAGACACAAGAGAAAAAACAGGAAAGGGACTAAACAAAGACAATATTGACAATATTTTAAACCACTGGAACTGTATTTAAATGTCACCCTGAAGTGAGACTCGTCACTTTACAATCACAAATGACGAAAATATAAATCCATGAGATGAAAATCAAAGCAACCTAGAGTAGTTTACTACACTAGCTTCTTAAATGTATGAACAAGGTGTACTTCATGCCACTTCCTGTGCATTTACTGTACTTGGCGAGGACGGTTAAAGTGATGTGAATAGTACATGGCCTTCTTCCTGATATCAATTAATCAGCTGCAAAGCTGCATAACAGATGCTATATTTACATTATTTCATGTAAACAGCATGCACCTATACAGGTGCTGGTCGTATAATTAGAATATCATCAAAAAGTTGATTTATTTCACTAATTCCATTCAAAAAAGTGAAACTTGTCTATTATATTCATTCATTACACACAGACTGAATCCCAAATTCAGTATCTCAGAAAATTAGAATATTGTGAAAAGGTTCAATATTGAAGAGACCTGGTGCCACACTCTAATCAGCTAATTAACTCAAAACAACTGCAAAGGCATTTAAATGGTCTCTCAGTCTAGTTCTGTAGGCTACACAATCATGGGGAAGACTGCTGACTTGACAGTTGTCCAAAAGACGACCATTGACACCTTGCACAAGGAGGGCAAGACACAAAAGGTCATTGCAAAAGAGGCTGGCTGTTCACAGAGCTCTGTGTCCAAGCACATTAATAGAGAGGCGAAGGGAAGGAAAAGATGTGGTAGAAAAAAGTGTACAAGCAATAGGGATAACCGCACCCTGGAGAGGATTGTGAAACAAAACCGATTCAAAAATGTGGGGGAGATTCAGAAAGAGTGGACTGCAGCTGGAGTCAGTGCCTCAAGAACCACTACGCACAGACGTATGCAAGACATGGGTTTCAGCTGTCGCATTCCTTGTGTCAAGCCACTCTTGAACAGACAGCGTCAGAAGCGTCTCGCCTGGGCTAAAGACAAAAAGGACTGGACTGCTGCTGAGTGGTCCAAAGTTATGTTCTCTTATGAAAGTAAATTTTGCATTTCCTTTGGAAATCAGGGTCCCAGAATCTGGAGGAAGAGAGGAGAGACACACAATCCACGTTGCTTGAGGTCCAGTGTAAAGTTTCCACAGTCAGTGATGGTTTGGGGTGCCATGTCATCTGCTGGTGTTGGTCCACTGTGTTTTCTGAGGTCCAAGGTCAACGCAGCCGTATACCAGGAAGTTTTAGAGCATTTCATGCTTCCTGCTGCTGACCAACTTTATGGAGATGCAGATTTCATTTTCCAACAGGACTTGGCACCTGCACACAGTGCCAAAGCAACCAGTACCTGGTTTAAGGACCATGGTATCCCTGTTCTTAATTGGCCAGCAAACTCGCCTGACCTTAACCCCACAGAAAATCTATGGGGTATTGTGAAGAGGATGATGCGAAATACCAGACCCAACAATGCAGAAGAGCTGAAGGCCACTATCAGAGAAACCTGGGCTCTCATAACACCTGAGCAGTGCCACAGACTGATCGACTCCATGCCATGCCGCATTGCTGCAGTAATTCAGGCAAAAGGAGCCCCAACTAAGTATTGAGTGCTGTACATGCTCATACTTTTCATGTTCATACTTTTCAGTTGGCCAAGATTTCTAAAAATCCTTTCTTTGTATTGGTCTTAAGTAATATTCAAATTTTCTGAGATACTGAATTTGGGATTTTCCTTAGTTGTCAGTTATAATCATCAAAATTAAAAGAAATGAACATTTGAAATATATCAGTCTGTGTGTAATGAATGAATATAATAGACAAGTTTCACTTTTTGAATGGAATTAGTGAAATAAATCAACTTTTTGATGATATTCTAATTATATGACCAGCACCTGTATATTGCTCAGACGCTGGTCTTAACATGTCTGAGTTCATTGTCTCATTCCTCATACAGATAAAACTCCTTATCTGTAGTCAGAAAGACAAAGTGTCAATGATCTGCATGCAGCCACATCAGCTCAAAATATTAGACCTCTCACCTGGTTGTGGTTCTTCCTTCTTGGGCTCTTCTTCTTTCTTCTCTTCTTTTTTGTCCCCCTCTGTCTTCCCTTCTTGTTTTTTGTCCTCTTTCTTTGGCTGCTCTTCGTCATCCTTCTTTTCAGGGGGCTGTTCTTCCTGTAAATAAACAATACTGGTACCAGTGTGCAGATGAAAGTGGACAAACAACGTCTTGAGACAAAAAGGGACAAAGCCCAACAATCAGCTGTAAGTGTTTGTAAGTGAATAAAGCATGCAAATGTCAAAGGTAGGTTTCACTTCTGATATTTGCTAATGATTAAAGTGTGTACATAACTACACTTGTAGTTCATCCTCAGCAGCGTCCCCTTCCTCAGTTTGAGGAAACATATTGAAGGCCCAGCAGTAAACCAGCAACAGTAAATCCACCCATGCAGGCCCACCCTCCCTGCTGAAGCTGCAGTGACTGCCCTTCATCAGTGCCAAGCTGCTTCAGAATTGATCTGATTTACCAGCCACGGCTTACCTTTAAAACAGTGTGACGAGCAGGTAGCGAGTACTGAACCTGATTAATGTAATGTTTGGTTTAAATGGTGCACACATGCTAATACATATTACCCTAAACCTAAAATAAATATGAAAAAATGCAGATTACACAAACATGAATGTGAAGAAATGTTTTCAAAACACCTTTCTGGTCCAGGTGTTTTATAGTAAGATATTAAAAAGAGGCCAGGCCTTACCTTAGCTGGTGGAGGTGGGGTAGGAGGCGTGGCCTCACCTTCACCAGAGGGAGGCTCAGGAGCCCCCATCAACTTTTTAAACCTGCTGAACATGGTGGGGCTCGGTGTGGGCTACAGCAAACAGGCCAACCAGTCCTCCTGGAAACGCTTTCCAATGCGGCAAGAGTCCCTGGATGCTCTGTAGTCCTCGTCTGAAATCCACACAACAGACTGAGGCAATTCAATTTCTTAGAAGCATTAATTCCCTCTGGGCACACCCCTTTCTCCTGAAGTCAACACCAGATCAGCGATCATAGCTGCCAGTCACTGCCAGGCATGACAACTGTCCTTTTGCAGTGCTGACTCCAGTCCACGGACCATTTAAGAGGCCTAATTTGAGGTCTAATTACTATGATTTGTTGGAAAAATGCATCTTAATAATTAATACAATTGTGTCTTCTTAATAATCAATGATCAAATGAAAAAGGGAATTATTATCAGCCAAAGTAGGTCAGGGATAGGATACATTTTCATTATTACAAAGTGGTTACCAATTCTGCCATTAAGTTTATTGAAATAAATAAAAACAACTGTTAGGTTTGCCTCTGCGTTTCACACAGAACTGATTGCATTTGTGAATATATCTAATCATGGGATAACACATAAACTACATGGTAGATACTCACAGGCAGATCATGTAAAATTAGACTGCTGGGGTTATTTCAGTCCACTCCAAGTTCATAAGTTCACAAACACAGAGAGCACTTAGTTAATTAACCGCCTCACAATGTCCCTGTCTGGCTAATGGGATTAGATTGATTCTCTCTCTCTCTCTCTCTCTCTCTCTCTCTCTCTCTCTCTCTCTCTGTCCCCCTCTCTCTCTCTCTCTCTCTCTCTGTCGGTCTCGTCTCTCTGAATATAAACACACTTTACATATCACACAGTCCACTTCAACATTAGCTGATGATAATATCTATCTCTCTCTCTCTCTCTCTCTGTACAAACAAACAACTGACAGAAACATAACATGCAAACAAACAACCGACAGACAGAAACATAACATGCAAACAAACAGGACAAGACGCCACTGAAAGTAAACTTTAGTTAAGTCGAGGAATTATTTATTCAAGCAGATCTCATCAAAATAGTTTGTGTTTAAATACATGTTTGGAGTTTGAATCTGCTTGTTGTCTTAGTTAGGTGGGTTTTGTCGAGCAGTTCTGCTGATCTCGTGTTATCTGATGGTGTCATGATCAAGCATGTCAAACAAAATGGGAAACAGCAGCATCAGCTTTAAACAATGAATCTTAAAATGATAGGAAATACATACTCAGTACAAAAGAGCAAGTAGTAAGAGGTTCAAAACAAAACTGCATTGACTCCCAAAAAGGAGTGAAAAATAAACTCACTACAATCCTCACTGGTCACTAGCAGCAGCCTGGGGGAAAAGAAAACACAAAGTATGGGTTTAGCAATCAGCATAACTGCAATAGCTTTGAAATGACCACATATAGATAAAAATGTAGGTGTTGTTACCTTCATTTTGTCAAAAAAGTTCTTGTTAATGTTTCCACCGAAAGCACGCAGCAGTTTGGGTGTGGGTGGCTTGGGTCCGAACAGCGCCAGTCCTTTCTCCTTTTCCACTCCTGCTTTAGCTGCCGCTGGACCCTTCGCCTTCATGAGTTTCCTGCACACGCAGAAACAGAGAAGCTGGCTCAACAAACAGCCTCTGGTATTATGCATATTGCAAAGCTTGTTCAAACATATTGGTTGTAAAATTGGAGAATTGGCTGTGGTCTCTCAAACAATTATCTATAAGAAAAAAGAACAATTTGAAAATGTCAATTTGCCGCTTAAAAACAGGAACAAGTGTTCTGATATGAGAGAGAAACGTAGTCGCATGTAGGTAACAACTGTAAATAAGTGCTGCATGTAAGATCAGCAATTTTAATGATTTTTAAGTCATTTTTTTATTATTCAAAATTATAATTACAATTATAAATAATAAAGACAATAAATAAGTTTGTTGATTTGTTTGTTGATTCACCACCTTCTTGACTTGTGGCAGTGTGCAGGTGCTCACCCCAGTGAGGGTGTGATACAGTGTGTTTGCTTTCAGGCCTCTGACTCACTTTCCCTTCCTGGCCAACACTTTCTGAGACTCCGGGTAGTGCACCAGGATATCAAACAGGTCTTTCTTCTCCAGGACAAAAAGGTTAGCGAAGCCGAAGGCTTTGACATTAGCTGTCCGCCTGTTCCCTCCGTCTTTGGATGATTGTAACAAACTGAGAAACAAAAAGATGTTATGACAATGTGAATTTGAATCTATCATCTTCTAATCAGGGGCATTACATTGAATTTGAACATTAAACGTGATGAATTTGAACATTAAACGTGATGATGTTTATCACAGTGTGAAAACTAGAATTAACAACGCTCTAAGGTTTCTTTCTTCAGACTTTGTATTTGTTTCTCCTACCTGATTTCTCCAAACACACATCCAGCCTTCAGTGTGACAAACACAATGCTGTTGTCAGGTCCTCCCACCACCTGCACCGCACCGCTTTTAATTACGTACATCTCTTTGCCGATGTCGCCCTGCAGAGAGAGCAAAGTTATTTACACATGCAGAAACATGACAAATAATGTACAGAAGAATAGACAGTATATATTTACACAAAGGTTGTACTCATGGGGTTTTGAAGGATGATAAAGATTCAAATATAGAATTTCAGGTGACGATATAACAATTTGAACTCGCTTTTTTTACGACGAAGTCTCCAGGTAAATAGACAATAGACTTGAGCCTCAGTAACATGTCCACCAACATCTGCTGGTCACAGCCCTGTAGAAGAAAAGCTATATTTAATTGACTTAATTCGCAGGCTGCAGTATGCCTAATTTGTTGTGTTAGTGGTGTCTTGAAAAGGCACCTTGAAAAGATCTATCTTCTGAAAGGTGGACAGGTTGATGTCCACAGCGATGGCGGTTCTCATCACCAGAGGCATCTTATCCAGCAACTCGGACTCATCTAAAAGCATCGAGATGAAACAGGGAATTTATTCTGGGGTCACATGAGTCTGGAGCTACATAGGGAAGTAGTACAACTTTTTTAAGGTGATATATGTGAAGGACTAACTGGTTTCTTACAAGGCTTTCTAACATTCTGTAAAAACTGAGCTGAACCAGTGTTACTGACCCAGCATGCCCTGTGCGTCCCAGGTGTAGGTGTACCAGTTGCGGACTCGGTTCTGCACCAAAGAGGGGATGTGGTTGTTCACCATGTAGTCCACGGTGCCGTCCATGGAGGATCTGAAGTAGGTCTGTCCTGCTGTGGCTGCACCGATGACGTCTCTCATCTGAGGCCAGATGACGGTAAGAACAAATACATCAACTAAGGAAAATAACTACTACGGTCAATTACACCCCACCCCACCTTTTTGACACACAGGAAACCAGTGATACAGATGATGGGGTGTTAGTGAAACTAGTATGCCTGATGATTGTGATTTCTAACTCAAAGGGTTTCATTTATCTGTCACTACATTAACAAGACAAGTGGGAAGAGACATGCTAATTTAGAGGTGCTGATTTCTATCAGGTTTCCAGAGGAACTGAGCATTTTGGGACTCTCTATGTTACCTGTCCAATCAAACTGGAGAACACAAAGACGCCCACGAAAAAGTTAATCATCTGAAAGGTAATCTCAAAGACGGTATGGGGTTCGTTAAGACCCCCGATGTTGATCAGACTGCGGACAGCATAGTAGTAACAACGCAGGTACCTGTGGAGAGGGTGGGGGCATAAGAGGGGCTGTTACAAACAAGTCTATGTGTCATTGGGCTGTTTTTTGGACAGACAGATAGAATATGTGTGTATGTGTGTGCATGTGTTTGGGAGGAATCATTGTTAATTCTCCCCTTTTTCTAGTTTGATTCCCTTGACATCTTGCTGCCGAATTTTCACACAAAAAAACTTTGCAAATCGAAAGCAAAATAATCCAAATACAGGTTAATTAAAAAAAAAAAGATAAATAATAATGGAAAAAAAAGAGCAATAAAAGATTTAAAAAATATTACAAATTAACTACCTGGCCAAGAATGATGGACATAAAGAAAGCCCCAAAAAGGTAGTTTGTCATCTGAAAGATCTGTCCGAACATGGTGTCTGGAAATGGCAACTCAGCGATCAGCAGTAGGGACTTCTCCGCATAGAAGAAGCAGCTGAGGTAACTGCAGCAGCAGCAGCAGAGATGGAACATACGAGACATTTTTTAAATTCGTGACTGTCTTTGGATATCTCAGGGATGGAGACAACTGGAACTCTGTTTCAGTGCAGCAAGCATTGCACTGACTCTAAAAGCTATGTATTGATGCCCATGTCGTCACATTTTGTCATGCATGGCAGCCCTATCAATTGTGAGTCTTAAAAAAACCAAAGAGGAATTACTTTAAACTCATCATTAATTAATAAATCGTTAACTTAAATAACTCCCAAAAAAGTAACAAATGCGCTGATGTTCATCGATGCTGGTAAAAGTGTTTCCTTTTAAACTGGGACCAAGTGTCTTTTACACTGATCACATTACCGAAGTCTAAAAGGATCAGTTTTCATTTTTAATTTGACAAAATGTGGTAAACTATTAGCAGTGGTAGTATTATCATGGTAAATAATAGTCAGAAAGAGCACATTACAGATACTTAGATACACTTTTTAGAAGTTTGCAATTCGGAGAAAAACCAAACAAGAATGCCATACACTCAAACGCAAGCAGGAATATAAAGTTTCTGTACTTACGCACTGCCCAGACCGGAGTAGACCCATTTAGTTTTCCCGATGCCCTGGTAGTCTGAAGCCACATAGTAGAAGCAGGCGTTGAGGTGGAGCATGAAGAGAAGATATCCAATGGTCCGAATCACTCTGATAGAAAAGTAAAGACTTGTCTGTCTATTGCTCTGTATTCATTATTTTTTCACGTCTTAATGTTGTAAAAGGTGAGTTCCCATCAGACACACACTGGCCACCCTGATCTTTTCAGTTATTTTTTAAAATGATGTATATATGATAACAACAAAAATGGCATTATCATACTTGCTTAATTTCTTTCATGTGACTAACCTCCAGATGTAAGCCTTGGCCATGATGCTCTCTAGACGATCACTGAACTCAAAAAATGTATCCGCCTTGAGAGTAAGCATGAAAATGTCAGCCAAGGCCACCACAGGAAGGACACAGAATCTTTAATCAATTGACTGGCCTTCGTAACACATGATTAAATTCACCTTTAGCAGGCGATTGAATCTGAAAATGGACCTGAATCCGAACTGGACATATAGCAAGTCGAATGGCATGAGGGAGATCAGGTCCAGCTGTTGAGGAGAGACAGATGTGTGAGGTCACTGAGACGAGTTCACCCTAAGTTCAAAGAATTCAAGTCACAGTACCATGAATCTCTCAGAATCTCTGTAGTTCTTCTTTGTCACCGCTCTGTCTTTCTGAAAGGTGGAGAAAAACATTGTCATTTTGTTATATCTTAAATCATTCTCAGTATCAGCCTCCATCGGCCGGGATTACATCAGACTTACTATGATGTCTCCTCCTTTGACAAACTGTTTGCGGGCCTGGAAGATGTTGGAGTCCGTGAAGTAGATGAGGTCGGCCAGCATATCCAGAACGAACCAGTAAGGGATGGCGCTCTCATTGTGGTACGGGAAACACAGACGGGCCGTAAGGAACCAGGTGTTGTAGTTAAAGGCCAGAGTCACAACGCTCAGCCAGGCGATGTAGCGACGGTCTGTGAAAGGGTCAATGGTATTCCCCAGCACTGGGTCCATCAGGTCCTCAAATGGCTTCAGCACAATGTCCACCGAAAACCAGGCAGCATCTTTTAACTTGGTCTTCAAATCCTTTTCCTCCTTCTTGGCCTCTGCTTTCTTTTTCTCCTCCTCCTCTTTCTTCTTCTGCTCGGCCTCCTTCTTTTTCTTCTCCTGCGCCTCTTTCTTCTTCTGGTCAGCTTCTTCCTTCTTTATGCGCTCCTCCTCTGCTTGCTTCTTCCTCTCCTCTATGACTTTTGTGTAGTTGTCTTTGCGCAGCAAAGGTGCTAAAAGGACAACATTAAGACTGAGTGTGCTTGAACACACAATGCAATTTAAATATTCATAATTTGCAGCCTATAAAGCCCCAATGACAATCATAAGACACAAATCTAAAGGTGTTTGTACTCACTGACAGGAGGGCTGATCTCTGGGGATGAAGCATTTGGATCAGTCACTTTCTCCTTGTAGAGATCCAGTCTCTCTCTCATGCGTTTGGCTATGGATCTGAGCTGCTGGTCTGAATACTTGTTGATGACAATGGGAGCGGGCGGGGGAGGGGCCGACTCTTGTCTGAAGATGGAAAATAACATTAGAAAAATGAGCCACACAATCTTGTTTTTTAATCTGATGATAATGGAAGAGGGTAGATTGGCCTGTTTCTCGTGTAATGAGGGCGATAGCACAATATTTGTAGACCAGTCTGAGGCGATGTTCTAGAGAATTTATGATCAACAAGAAACATTTTAGATTGGTTACGTATGCTGATAAAATGGCCTTAGTTAACCTAGCACAGAAAAGACATTAGGTGAAGCTGCCTATCTGGCCCACACAAGGGCCCTTTAAACATGGTGTCGCATTAGCCAGCTAGAAATCAATGTAGAAAGACAAAACAATCAATTAACTGCACAAAACAAGGTCTGAAAACAGAGTCAGTTTCACTTGATGTCCAACCTGATGAAACTGTGGAAATCTTTAAATACCTCAGTACAGTTCTCGAGTATATTTGAAAGAGATGCTCACAGCGACATTATCGTCTCTGGAAACTTAGTGGCCTTGGTGTTAGTCAGCAGATTTTAGAACTAGTGTACAAAACTATTGTTGAAAATGTTTTAACTTTTTCACCTTCCTGCCTGTTACGGTCACCTAAACGGTAGATCTAAGAATACTCTTGCTAGGATTGTGTCAATCGCAAGCAAAATAGTTGGCAAACCCCGGAAGCCAGTTTGAGCTCTTGAGTCCTTCAACTAAATATGTATTTGAGAAGTCCTTCATCCCAGAGCGCCATCAATATTCTAAACATGACTGATTAGATCTGAGCTGCAGACACTGACGTATAATATGACATGTCTCTATGCTTGTCTTAAATTTTCACTCTGGTGGACAATAGCACCTGTTTTAGTAAATAAAAGTAAAAAAAAGAAAACACTCTTCACTCCCAGCTCAGCACCAAACAGCACACACAGCGAGTGACTAGCTGATGAACATAGTGAAGCATTTAGCAGCTAAAGAACCAGATATTTCCCTCAGGAGTAGCGACCAAAAATGTAAGATTGGACTTACACAAAACTGAAACAATTTAAACTGTTGCTGCATCAGCTGAATGTCTAAATGGCCAACTTTATGCTAGCAAGTTTGCCATACAAACGTAAGCTAATATATCTATGTTGTGCTCACTGCTTTTTCCGCTGCCTGCAAGTGGCTAAATAACAAGTTTAAATTGAAATGTAAGTAAAAACACTTAAAAACCTACAAGTATGAGAGGGGCTTGAAACTGTGCATTTTTATTCCGACAGACTAACCACACTACTGTGGCTGGTTTAATCACTGACCGCTTCAATCAGTAAAACCAGCAACTGTGGTGACAATCTTTCATATTCACAGGAACTACTTTTCTACACTCTGAACTTGTTACTTCCTGTGCGTTACACCACATTTTTTACGAATTGCTAATGGTTTAGCAATTCCATTGTAATTTGTAATGTCAAATAAAGACATTCATACTGCGAAATTACATTTTAAGTGGAAAGGCTCAGCTGACAAATACAGCAACTTCAGCCTCAGCAGTACAGAGAAGAGGACATCTGTGCTCATATGTCGCCCCCTAGTGGACACGATTCAGCATTATATCTGGCTGACTGTGGGAGCCAGATGTATTTATGTCAAGTCATTGCGAATGAAACGCCACTACCCGAATATGTTTAACTTAAGCACTTTCATCAAATCATAGACAAAAACCTATTCTTATGACAGTTTACAACAAGCACAACAGAAAGGCAGAGAGATGACATCTCTTCCTTTCCATTGACACAGTGTAGGATGTACTGTCCTCCGCAGTTGAGTGCTACACATTAGTTGCATTAGTTAGGTTACGGAAACAATTGAAAATAAAGAGACTTTGGAGGCTGTTACAACTCAATGGTGAGTGAGATGCTTTCTCTCTTTTGGCCAAAACTGCAGCTGTGGTTTAATCTCTGGTGGCAGTGAGTCGTACTTACATCAATGAAGGAAGGCTAAACAACAGAAACACCTCTCCAGCCTCCACAATGACCATGCAAAAACTGGACCTTATAACCTTCATGAAGGTATGATTTATTAACTGTTATACTAGACATAACTTTCAGCTGGGTATATCTAATAAGTTAGTTAGTAAGGTAAATAAGAAATATGCTTATTTTTTACAGATAGAAAAACAACACACATAAACACCTTATCATTTGTGCTTAACTCAAACTTTAGAGTTTAGACAAATGCATCCAGACATTCACATTTATTAATTTATGTCCATCACAATATAAATGTATGTTTTGTTTTATAGTCCAAGATCACGCCAATTTTGCTGATTGAAATGTAGTTTCCAAAATAAAAAGGTCTGACTCTGGTATTACCCCAAGTAAGATTTCCAAATCCAAACACATCTAACTGTGCTCCACATAGAGCTCCTCCTCACTCTTTATTATCCACTGATGAAACATTTCAACATGTCTCAACATTTGGAAAAGTAAAATGTGTTTACAATTGTGAGGATCAGCCGAATGTGTCGCCTTCATGGTTTTTATTGCTTGGCCAGAAGCAGACCTGAAGAGCTTCTTAAACCTAAAAAGCTGAAAAGCTTTTAATCCACTTTCAGGTCATCCCCCTCCTAATATGCATGTTGCATCGGGGGATAAAGATCTCACACATGAAGGCTTTGTCTCTCTCGCTCTCTCTCTGCGATCTTGCCAGGGAATCAGATTAATTAGTGTCCATTGGGTGATTCATTTGATACTGGTTTGTGGTGTCAGTGTGCACTTGGCAGGCATGTGTTTTGGTAAGCTAAATTGGAGTTTGGAGGCTCTAGCGATAAATACACTACATCTACTCTTTTTAATTGCCCATGCTTCCGTTATACTGACAGTGCATCTCCCCTGCAATCAAAATATCCAATCAGGTAGAGAAAAAAATGAAACTGCCAATGGTGCAGGTCTTACCCCTCAGGTCCAGCTTGATCAGGGTTAGCTGGAGCTGCTGTAGGGGCCGGTGCTGGAGCAGGAGCTGCTGGTGGTCCTGCAGCAGGGGCTGATGCTGGAGCCGGAGTTGGTTCTGGGAAAGGGGAACAATCATAGTTACATTTCATCTCCTCCAGACTTGATTTTTGTAATGCTCGTTTTTAAAGCCTTGCATTTTATCATTTTATATTTTACAAGTTGAATTTCATTAACTTATTTGCTTTGTTTTACTTTGTTTCCCTGTGTTGGAGCTATTTATTAGATTTATTAGTATTTTGTTATTTCATTTATAAGTAGTATTGTTTAATTATTCTAGATGTTTGATATATTAAGATTGTTTTTTCTCTTTAACAGTAATTTGTTTAGTTATATAATTTTTTGTTGTTTGGGTAATTACTGTGGGCACCTGTGGCTATATATATGAGTAGACAGATAGGACCAGCATGCACCGGGGTGGGCTTATAGTTTTTACCAGCACAGGAGAGAAGGCACGACGGGAGTTTTCTTTGTTCTTTTTGTTTGTATGCTTGTTTTGTTTGCTTTACTAAATAAATACAAAAATTGGAATCCTGTATGGACAATCCACTCTCTTCTGCCTGCGTAAAATACCGACCACGGTGCATCAGTGGCGTTTGATTATTGTTTGTTTAATTTGGATTTATGCGACAAATGGCCACTACACCTTGTAACTTTGTATTTTTTGAAAAGAACTACACAAATAACATCATTGTTGTTAGATGAGGACAGCTGAAGCCTCTGGCAGTTACGTAAGAGTTAGAATGACGCTATATATTTCACATGGCTATAAAGAATCTCAAGAAAGTATAATTGTTGAAGAAATTGTAATACAAATCACATTTCAAGAATGACGGAGTTCAATATGAACCAATCAGGCAAAACATCAGCATCCGCGCTGCACTAGTTAAATACAGGCATGCTTGGAAAAAGACAAAGTGTGGAAAGACTAAACAGAAGTTATGAATGAGATAATGTATAATGTCTAAAAGGCCAAATATGTTTGTGGTTTATGTGATATAATTGAGGGTTAGGGTTGTTTAGGGGTTAAGTTCTACCTCTAAGCCGCTGTACTGGGTGACCGGCCATAGATTTATGAAACACCCACTGAGCTTAAAGCAACACAATTAACAAGTCACAGGATTTCACTTTATGTTATAGACCTCAGAAAGCAGGGACAATGAGGTTTGGACTGACAATAAGCTCAAGAAAAGTTGAACAACTTGAACGTTTCATATTGATAATCTGTCAACAGTCAATGAGTGTGCCTTTCTGTTGTCTTAAAAGATCTGATTGTCTTCTTGATCAATAGCTCGGCCTTACAAGTGCACACAAAGCTGATTGCAGCCACTTGGAGCTCAACGATAGTCTCCAACTTTTGTTTAAAAAAATTACAGCCATAAGGATAAAATAATGATTTGAGAACAGCTGTAGACTTTGGTTAGCTGGGGTCATTTTAGCAGAAAGGGACGACATATTCCTAAACTCTCTGTATGATCCAGTCCACCCATACAGTTTTCACCATGAGATGGACAGGTGGAAAGCCCATCTGACACTAAGTAAAACAGAAACAGACATAAAATAATCGTGTTTCTAAATGTGCTATTTCAGCCTCTCAAATGAATGATGACTTACCCTGCGGTTTGTCCACATTCTTGGCTTCATTCTCCTTATCGGCTGGCTTGTCCTCCTAGAAGATAAATCAACATTTTTCACATTGTCAGATGCTCGCCTTCATTAGTTAAACCACGGTCATTAGAGAGACATTTTAATTAAGAAAGCCTTTTTAAAGAAAAGTGAATTTAGCGTTTGACAAATTACTCCCTTGTCCGATCGGCTCTCTTAAAAACAAGATGTGTTTGAGATGAAATAAATTTAAAAGTGCCCGTTGGCTAATGAGCGATATCAATGGTGTCTGTGTAATGAAACAATTTTATTAGATTCTTTGTTGGCAAGAGTACTGAGCAATTGAATGGATGGGGGAGCAGATAAGAAGCCACTGCCGTGATCTTAGTGGAAACAAATTCAAATTGCTGCATTACAGGCTGGATACAATACTTCATTTTCCAGATTTCAGTCTTGGCTTCCACTGCTGTCACTGACTCATACTGAACAGTATGAAAGCTATTGAACACTTGTCAGGGCATCAAACAAGAATCGATTGCCCTTTGAGAAACTAGATATGAATGAAAATATGTTATAGTTCATAAAGAACATTTGTATTTACTCACTGAATATACAGCACACTATTTTCTACCACCAGACAAGTCTTACCTTAGCTGGAGCTGGAGCCGGAGCTGGAGCCGGAGCTGGGTCAGGGGTCCTCGCAGCGGCTGGCACCTGCGGGCCTCTGAAGAGACCCTTCAACTTGCTAAACATGTCTAGAATCCTAAAGGTGCATCTGCTTTTGCCGTCTGCAAGTGAGTATGAAGAGTACTGATTCCTGAGGAGCTGAAAGATCCCCCTCCTCTTTTCTCTCCGATGGTATTATTGTTTTTAGCACCACTAATACTCTTGCACAGAGAAAAGCCCCCAACGTCACCTCATATAAGCTCCCAATAGGCTTACAGGTGACCACTAAAGCAGGGCTTAGGGCAGCATATACAGAATGCATGTGTGTGGAGTACATACAGACCACAAGAACCGTTGCACTTATAGTAAATTAAATGCTACTGTCGTGAGCTGCTTCAACCCACGTCTTGGTGAATGCACTGCAGCCCATTCTGTAAGCAACATTACTGTACGCTTCAATTGGCTATAGGCAGTAAGAAATCTATCCAAGCACAAGACACTTTACAAGTTTTATTGACAAGGTTATCCCCGTGCCTTGAGGAAGATAATGTATTATCCTCTTCATTGCTCAAGTAAATGAACCAGCATCTGAATGCATCATAAAGGCAATAAAGGGGTAGTTTGGATGTTTGGAAGTGGCGTTGTACAGTCAGTGTATTACCTACAGTAGATGGAAATCAGCATGCACCCAGTTTGGACAAACAAACTGGAGTAAGGACACAGGAGCACAACAATGCAAACAAAAACAGTAACTTTACCTTGCAGAACATGGAAGTTGCTGGTCTACCGCTGCCTCTATTGGTTGGTTTGTGTTATTGTGTGACTTCGGTGTTTTATGAGTTAGTTCAGATTCACCAAAGTCACACAATAACACAAACAAACAAACGATTGAGGCAGCGATAGACCAGCAACTCCTTTTTTCTGGGAGGTAAAAATACTGTTTTTGACAATGGAGTCTTGTGGCTTTGAAGGTGGATATAACTTTTTCAGCTCCCCGTCGAGAAGGGCTGTCTGATGGCAACGTATGGCGGTGAAAATATTCCAAATATACCATACACTTATAAGCTGATATCGATTTTTTAGGTGGCCCTTTTTATGTGGCTAAAACACGTTTTACTGCTGCCCCCATCCGCAGCAGTACATTGGTTTGCTCGAGTGCCCAGTAATCTTACCTGCTTCTAAAAACTGGCGGCGATGTATTGTAGATAATACAAGGATTATTACCTGCAGTATTATGGATAAGTACCTCATTCAACCCCGAAGCATCCAAACTTTCCCTTTAAGGTAGAACATGTTTAAAGCTGAGGTGGGTTGACTTAAAGTGGCAACTTGCACGGCTGAGTGTGATAAAACATTTCCATTAAGCAAAGGTGCTCCAAATGCAAGTGTTAGACTGTCTTATTAATGAAACAATGCCACCACAACACATTTGGAGCAGATTTAGTAAGGTTTTTCATTTACTTCAATACAGTTGGGATGTTGTTGATACCAGCATCTACATGCTGAATGACCAGCCTTACTGTCTTTTGCCAGTAAAGTGCTACTGATCTGAGAATTATGAGAGAATAATTAGAGAAACTAAACCCATAGCTGATAAAAGGCATTAATGCGGTGTAGGCTAGAGTAGAGTATTGAAAATATGACAGCAAGAGAAATGGCAATGTCTAAGAGTCCTGCTCCACTGTTTGATTTCTTCATGAATAATGACAGTTTTAAATTATACAGTGCAGTTTGATGTGACAAATTGTAATTATATTTGCAGTTAATATCCTTTGCGGCTCAAACATACAGCATTTTGAAATGGCACAACAGTTTACTGACTTACAACACTGCCCCATGCTTCCTCTCATTGCTTGTTGACTTTGCAATGAATTATATGCTAGAACATTCTACACTTAGAGCAAAGATATGAGAGTGAAGCTTGGTCAATTATAGTGAACTTAAACTCAGCAAAAATTACTACTTTTCACATTGTCTGAATATCTTAGAAAATGCAGTTTTGTGAAAAGGTACCCTGGGTAGTTTTGTAATATTTAGTGTTTTTATTAAATTTTCATGTTCATATGTTTTTTTTTTTACATTTTCGAAACGTTGCATTGTTTCCATCCATGTCAGCCAGCAGTCCTCTCTTTCCTGCCTTTTTCCAGCAGTGAAAACCTTGGATAAAGAAGAAAAGTAAAAAAAAAATAAAAAATGCTCCGAAACTCAGCTGCTAAATTCACATGGAACAAAATGGGTTGAGCCACCTGTGTGCTTGTGCGCCTACATAATTGTCCTTGGGCACGTACTCATAGTAGCACTAGATACACACCAAACCTATCCAAAAACTGCTCTCTCAAAATCTGAAATGTTATGCTATATGTTTTTTTCTTTGTAGCAGTCTACCAGTACATATCATCCCTCTGCAACTGCACAGTCTAACAGTGATTCATAGTATATAGACTCTACATCACAAATACATTAAGCTGGTTTCATAATCAGCAAGATGGAAGTAGGGCCATTTCCGCCCATGAATCTCTCTCCATTGTCATTTTCATTATCTTGTTTTCATTTAGCCTTTATCTTAGTAAGACACTCATACGCTCACTTGGCATTAAGAATGAAATTACACCACTATCGCCCACCCACTCAGCCCCATATTCTGCCGTTCCATTCCTCTTGTCAAGCGGGGGAACGACCAACAAAATGCCACAGTGATGCAGACGGGGCTTAACTCAGCCGTGGGCTTCGTGTAATGTATCTCCGAGCGTTCTCAAGGACCATTGACTTGTCTGGTGCAGAGAAGAGAGAGGATGAGTGGAGGAGGAAGCTATGAGTGGAGATGCACTTTTTTTATGCCTCTCCATCTTTCCTCTGTCCAGTGATGCAGGGAGATAGGTCATTAGATCCTCTCCATCTCTTCCATTAATCTAATTAGGCCTTGGAGGTTGGGCTTATAGCCCCTGACATTGCTGTGTAAGAGCTCAGCACATATTAAAAAGAGCAAATCCTTTGTCATGTTTGTTGTTTTTCTCACTCTGCACTCAGGGAAAGGTGAAGAAAACCCCTCCAATGCCCTTGTTTTCTGGTAGAATATTTAGCAAATGACTGAATGAATAGAAAGTGATTAAAGGAGATGAATGACTGCAATTGCGATATAATATCAGATTAAACCCCGACCTTTTACCTTCTCACAAACACACACACACACACACACACACACTCCGCCACATCGCCTTGACAGCAGCATGTAGGCAATATATCAGTTTCCCCTGTCAGTCAGCAGCAGAATGACAATGGACCTCGTCAGTGTAACAGCTAGAGGTAAATTTATAGCACAAAGTGGAGGAGGCTGAATTCTCCGGTGGCCAGTGACATATGACTCACCGCTCTAAGTGGCATAATACAGAGCTGCTCTCAACCAGGGGTCTGGAAATTATAAGAAGGTCTAACCAAGGGAGGCCAATTCATAGAGTAATCATTGATGCAAATGCCACAATGATTACTCCTTTAACAATGCCATAAAAATCAAGCACTGTTCAGTTACAATGTGAGGGGTCTCCCTTCAGTGAAGAGAAGTAGCAGTGAAAGTGGCAGTGATTTGTTTCGTAGAAAAACAGCTATTTGAAGGACTTTTTCAGTTTTCTGAAAGAGAACACTTATCCCAGTGTTTTTTTTAGTGTTATCTGAAGTCAACGGGTCTAAACAACTTGATCATAGTTAAGGCTGTGTAAGCTTGAAAGTATATTTAATTTGATTTAGCTTTGGAGTGTCTGAAGGGTTAAATAGGTTACATAATGTTGGTTATATAGTTTCTTTCAGGTACTGTATGACAACCCCCTTCTTGTGTAATTTCAGCTCTAAGTGTCTGTGGATGGGTGCAAAAATTAAAGGCCCACCGGTGTCCCTCAGGTAGTGTAGAGTTTTTTTTTAGTCAGCTGAAAACACTGATGGGAGCAGTGAGAGTAAAACAACAATAGCAAGGTTGGGGGTTGAAAAAACCACAACAATGACATGAAAGACACTAAAACGCTTTAGGGAAATGGAAAGCTGGGTGACGTTTCTTTGAGGTTTGTCGCTATGAGTAACCTCTTTTATACTATACACAATGTCGTTGCTAAGGATTCTGTATTTTGTGGTATTTTTTGCTTTGCTGTTGAGCAACGCTGGCCCTCACTGCTCATGCTAAATATCAAGTTCTTCTCTATTACATTACATATTGCTATTTACCGCCCCAAAACCCAAAGAAAATGCATGTCTGTAAATCAAGATAATTGTTAAAAATGTTCTTTAGATTCACAATCATGAAATGGTCTTTAATTCAAATCTGGTGAAATAATGTGCTGCCTGTAATATATACTCCGACATGTAATTTAGATGTGGGTGATCAAACACTTGGCACATGGACAGTGTTTAGTGTAGCTTGGGAATGGTACTAAATTTATCTTCAAAGGGAATATCTGAAAAGTGTAAAAGGGCTGAGTGTTGGTGCTATAGGTGATCTCTGTCCTGAATGTGGAGCACTGCACTTCTGTCTGCCACCAAATGGGGGCAGAGTATCCCTTCCCATCTCTCTTCTCCTTCAGATGATGAAACTGTTTTCATTAGAATTAGCCAGATGCTGTTGAGAATTACTCTGAGCTCTGAGAAAGCGAAAAAGAACAGACACCAGTGTGACTTATGAGCATTTTTAAAGACAGCAACATCTGGTGGCACTAAAGAACTTGTGCCAAGAAAATAAAAATAGCCACTAATTCATCGTCAAACCAAAGAATTAATACTTAACATCTGATTCTTTTGGATGAGGCATTTTTTTGGGCTGTGACTGTTATGATACTACAACAGTCACAGTTCCAAAAAGCTTCTTTTTGAAAAGGGATTTTTAAGTGAATGACGATGTATTACGTAGGGGATAAACAGTGAGGACATTTTTCAGGAAAGTTACTTGAATGATCCCTAACAGCTGTTAAACAGTGTTTTGATGTTAAGTTAACATTATAACCTTTGTTTTCAATGTTAGATGTTGTTTAGATCCATGGTGTATATCTACCAGTGAATGAATTTCTTTGATTGTATTATTTTTTATCTTTCACAAAAGCTTATACAAA